TATGACTTTAGACTTCCGTGATCTGATAATTCTTGGCTCTTGTGTGGCCCTAGACTTTAACAAGCTATGGGCTTAAAGTTGTGTATATCTTAGATAGTTCCAGACCATTTACAAGTTATGTGGCCCTAGACCTTGTACAAGTTGTTTGACCGTATGGCCCTATACCATTTACAAGTTGTATGGCCATAGAACATTAACAAGTTGTATGGCCCTAGAACATTAACAAGTTGTATGGCCCTAGAACATTAACAAGTTGTATGGCCCTAGAACATTAACAAGTTGTATGGCCCTAGAACATTAACAAGTTGTATGGCCCTATACCATTTACAAGTTGTATGGCCATAGAACATTAACAAGTTGTATGACCCTAGAACATTAACAATTTGTATGGCCCTAGAACATTAACAAGTTGTATGGCCCTAGAACATTAACAAGTTCTGTGGCCCTAGAACATTAACAAGTTGTATGGCCCTAGAACATTAACAAGTTCTGTGGCCCCAGAACATTAACAAGTTGTATGGCCCTAGACCATGAACAAGTTGTATAGCCCTAGACCGTTTTAATGTTGTATGGCCCTAAAACCATGAACAAGTTGTATAGCCCTAGACCGTTTTAATGTTGTATGGCCCTAGAACATTAACAAGTTGTATGGCCATAGAACATTAACAAGTTGTATGGCCCTATACCGTTATAAAGTTGTATGGCCCTAGACCATTAACAAGTTGTATGGCCCTTAAAGTTGTATGCTGTCAGTCCCTCAGCTGTCGCCGTATATTGTGATGTAGGCCTGTACCTATCCCCTGTAGACAGCAAGACGTTCAGACATGTAGCACGACCAAGCCAGCGTCCACCATCCCGCCCGTTCCTCTCGCACTGCTCCAGCGGACGAAAAATCTTGGAATGTTGTATCTAGGGCAAAGTTCTGCGCCATGACACGTTTTTAATTGCTTGGACATAAAAACAAACAGTGTGTAGAGCCAGACACAGCACACGGCGACATGTCGGCTGCTTCTTATCTCCCATAGCTAAGCAGCATCGATACAGGCATCGATCACTCATCACCACATCTTCAACTGTACAGGAAAAAATTCAACACATGCCGACTACTGTAACGGGTCTGTTACTGTTGGGTAGTATCGATACATACAGTCATCGATCACTTACGATTACATGTGTCCTACTCTACAGTTATATAAACAGTGACTGTCTAAAACGATGGAAAATTTTCCAAACTAGAATAATAATTATACTCCATTGCCTTTACGTGTTTTTTGTTTTTTTTTCTACAGTTTCTTCAGTCAATAAGAACTAATATGTTGGAGTCTATACGTGTGAGAGTGTTGGTGTGTGTCTGTGAAGGGAGGGGGGTGAGGGCTATACCTACCTATAGCCAGCAGGATGTGCCAAGCCTTAATATATCCTTTTAAATCTCCGACGTGTTGCGAACCTGCAGGTATTTGGGCCGCGACGGTCTACACTCCTCAGTGTGTTGTAGTTGCATGTCTGGCTCGTGGTACATGCCTCAGTAGAACGTCAGTTTGTTACAAATGTCCTTTAGACTCGTGGTGTGGTACATGCCTCAGTAGAACGTCAGTTTGTTACAAATGTCCTTTAGACTCGTGGTACATGCCTCAGTAGAACGTCAGTTTGTTACAAATGTCCTTTAGACTCGTGGTGTGGTACATGCCTCAGTAGAACGTCAGTTTGTTACAAATGTCCTTTAGACTCGTGGTGTGGTACATGCCTCAGTAGAACGTCAGTTTGTTACAAATGTCCTTTAGACTCGTGGTACATGCCTCAGTAGAACGTCAGTTTGTTACAAATGTCCTTAAGACTCGTGGTACATGCCTCAGTAGAACGTCAGTTTGTTACAAATGTCCTTTAGACTCGTGGTACATGCCTCAGTAGAACGTCAGTTTGTTACAAATGTCCTTTAGCTCGTGGTGTGGTACATGCCTCAGTAGAACGTCAGTTTGTTACAAATGTCCTTTAGACTCGTGGTACATGCCTCAGTAGAACGCCAGTTGTTACAAATGTCCTTTAGACTCGTGGTACATGCCTCAGTAGAACGTCAGTTTGTTACAAATGTCCTTTAGACTCGTGGTGTGGTACATGCCTCAGTAGAACGTCAGTTTGTTACAAATGTCCTTTAGACTCGTGGTACATGCCTCAGTAGAACGTCAGTTTGTTACAAATGTCCTTTAGACTCGTGGTACATGCCTCAGTAGAACGTCAGTTTGTTACAAATGTCCTTTAGACTCGTGGTGTGGTACATGCCTCAGTAGAACGTCAGTTTGTTACAAATGTCCTTTAGACGTTAGGTTGTTTTTTTTTTAATTACTGAAGAAAAATAATCTAAATATGAGTTGTTTCCAAAACATGCGCCCATCTACAAATTCCAACATCAGCTGTTTAACGTATTTATTAAATACGATTCCTACGCTTGTGTCAAATCTACGTGTGCTAAGGAGAATGATTAAAACAATAACATATCACAAAGTTCCTATGTCCGTTATGATCCCGCCCCATTTGATTCGCACAAGCATCGCTATAACCCTAACATCATACTAATTGTTTAGAATTTGAGGCCATAAAACATTGACAACAGTTCTTAGAAAGAATATGAGAAATTTCAGCTTTGTGTTATTAAAATCAAAACTTCATAATCAATAGTCGTTTTCAAATTTAAAATTAAGAACGGTTCAAGAAGAAAGGTAGGGGTAACAACAAGGGTGACATAATCGATTTCTTGGACGTGCCTCTTCTATATTACCCCACTCCAAATGACTTATAGGACACCCTTCGACGGGCCTTCGAACCCGGAGACCGACTCAATAATTTCGTGATATATTGTGCCCCAGAATTTACCCAGTATTAGCTCGATCTCCCGTGTTGGAGACGAATAAATTGTTCTACATAAGTTCATGCCTAATTAACTTTGTTTAATAGCAGCTGTCACAATTAAAATGCCCGGATCGCAATAAAAAAGGAATTGAAGCATAACAATTGTAGATTGTCAAAAGGAATGAATCATTCCATATGACTTGAACTAAAAGGAGTCGGTTAATAGTCTTTGGACTCCGATTCTTATATGTATAGCCCGGTTTGTAAACAAGTTATTTTGTAATCAAGTGATAGGATGAGCACGTCATATTTACAATTAACTCTGTTCTGTTCTATAAATAAACTATTAGCACGTGACACAGAAACAATAAGACTTGATTGGTGGGATTTGGTAACAGGAGTTTATGTAATTCTAGCTGGCCTTGACCGAACAAAAAAAAATACTTTTTTTTTAAATCAATAATCCTTGTGACCACGTCTTGCAAGTTTAATAAATAATTAAGTTTACATATAATTTAGTGTAAAGATATGGGCCAGATGTCCTGCCAATATATTTGCACGAAGTAGATATGTTACTTTTACAAGTGGGAGACATTAAAATTAAGTTGCCGCATTGTTTTTCTTGCCCTTGCTTCACTGTTACCAGGGTAACTCAGCATCAAAAACAAGTGTTAGTTGCAGCCATTTTTTTCCTTTACTAAATCCTACGTAAGACATCATCACACAGTACACATCTCCCGTCAACTGGCACTGCTTATCTTTTAGTGCTGATTTGTTTCTAGTTTTACTCAAACAAAAGGTTTATCTCAACTTTTGACTTGTTGAAACAAAAATTGGCTTATCCCCCCCTCCCCATCTGAAAACAAACAACCACCAGGACATGACCCCCCCCCCCCCCCCCCACCTCGTCGGCACCCCCTCCCTCAATGTACAACCGTTACACATTGATTAGCCACGGAGCCATCAAAACTCAATTCAAAGCTTCTCAACCACTTACTATTGGAGGGTCCCATTTGATACTTTGTTAGCTTCTGTACTCTCAGACCAAAACACTATCACTAGCCTGGTGTTAGAGTTAGCATTACAGTCCAGTGGATGTTTGGGTTGTAAGACATTGTTGTTGCCTACTCTAAAGTACCCAGTGATAACTGTGTTGATCATGTAGTGAGGTACTATATAACAATAACTCAGGTCACACACATGTGTTTTAGTAGGGAACAGAAAGAACACCAAAGGCGGGTTTATAGTATATATGTAGGGATTGTCCCGTTTTGTCGGGAGGGGGGGGGAGGTGCATACCGCAAAAGGTGATTTCCTGCAGTGGCTAGTCTTTTTTTTAATGAGAAATTCTGCTATTCCTGATCGTTTGATAACTTACTAATGCTATATACATCATTGGTCACTGTATGAGGGGGTGGAGTACCTCGTTGGCAGAGGGATCGACACCTGGGTTACCTTGCCTAGTGATACCTTGTGTGAGGGAGGGGGGGGGGCTGACTTTGGTGAAGAGGCCTAGCATAAACTCTATTAATATTAGAAATATAAAAGCTTATTAATTGGTGTTTGAATTGTGGGGGTGGGGTGTCGACAATGTAAGGCGGCGTTTTGTAAGGATGTCTGATGTTAACGGAAATCGGTAAATGCAGCTTGACGTCATTTTAATAGATGACGACCCTCCACATACACACGATGTCATTACGTTTAGTCCGAGTCATCCAATGTGTGAGAACCCCTGACTATGTGATACTTGGCGTGTGGCTGGTTTTAATTCTTGTGGTCGTGTCCATGTTTTGATTGCTTTAACTTGTGCCCTATGTGGTTACATAACGCGCTGAAGTTCGTCCAACTATAGTATTGGTGACTGTCGAACTACATCTAACAAAAAGCATCTACCAAATTACAAATCTTACGTTTTGCGACATTCAGCAGAAACCAATTTTTTTTTATCAGACGACAAAGGCAAACTCTTTAATTCACATTTTCCTAAAATAAATGTTCATTAATGTGACTAGTGCCAGACATTAGGAGTATAACATTTTTTTTACAAAACGCATGTATAAATAACCGTTGAGACATTATGTAAGACAATAAGTTCCATTTTTTGAAGCAGTCTATGTCAGATTTGTCTAAAAACGCCACTGTTTGACCGTCTACAGGACATTGCAGTGCGGGCCCTGAAGGTCAGTGGTAACAAGAGCGTGGAGGCTGCATTACGTCTCCTGCTGCAGATCATGGAGGATAAGATAAATGGAGGCAAAAAACTTTCAGGTAACTGCTTGTCGTCTGGTGGGGGTCTTTGTGTGTGTCGGGGGGGGGAACTTTTACTGTTTGATTGATATTGTGTGGGATGATGTGTGTATGGCGTCCTTTGGGGTGGTAGTCTTGTCTTTTGTAGGGTGTGGGGGGGGGGATAGGTTTTTAGTGTGGTCTTGTGTAAAGTTTTTTTTAGTTAAGTGTGATATTGTCATTTAGTGTGTGGGCTGAGGTATTTGTGTGGTTTACTGAAGTCTTAAACGGTGGTTATAGTGTGGTTTACTGAAGTCTTAAATGGTGGTTATAATGTGGTTTACTGAAGTCTTAAATGGTGGTTATAGTGTGGTTTTACTGAAGTCTTAAATGGTGGTTATAGTGTGGTTTTACTGAAGTGTTAAATGGTGGTTATAGTGTGGTTTACTGAAGTCTTAAATGGTGGTTATAGTGTGGTTTACTGAAGTCTTAAATGGTGGTTATAGTGTGGCTTACTGAAGTATTAAATGGTGGTTATAGTGTGGCTTACTGAAGTCTTAAATGGTGGTTATAGTGTGGCTTACTGAAGTCTTAAATGGTGGTTATAGAGTGGTTTACTGAAGTATAAAATTGTGGTTATAGTGTGGTTTACTGAAGTCTTAAATGGTGGTTATAGTGTGGCTTACTGAAGTCTTAAATGGTGGTTATAGAGTGGTTTACTGAAGTATTAAATTGTGGTTATAGTGTGGTTTACTGAAGTATTAAATTGTGGTTATAGTGTGGTTTACTGAAGTCTTTAATGGTGGTTATAGTGTGGTTTACTTAAGTCTTAAATGGTGGTTATAGTGTGGCTTACTGAAGTCTTAAATGGTGGTTATAGTGTGGCTTACTGAAGTCTTAAATGGTGGTTATAGTGTGGTTTACTGAAGTCTTAAATGGTGGTTCAGTGTGGCTTACTGAAGTCTTAAATGGTGGTTCAGTGTGGTTTCTGTTACTGTCATGTAGTGGGGTTTTAAAAATAAAATTAAAATATCTCAATTAACATAATTGAATTCTTATTGATATAAAACATTTTACAAATAGTTTTGAGGAATAAAATTTCACTTTAAGCTATAGAAAAATATTTTTCTCTACCCAGGTCTGGCGCAGAGACCAAATTTTGGTCCCAGCAGCCCAGCTGCGTCAGAAACAAACAGCGTACGGTCTGATAGCCCGGGCCTGAACTCCTCCACACAGAGGCAGTTCATGTCCAATGGATATCAGGCGCCTCCACCCTTACCTCCACGGATACCCATCACTACCATGGCCAACCACGCAACCAGAGGACAGACACCACCACCTTCAAGTGACAACGACAACAGTGTCAAATCAGGATCTGGTTTAGGTCAACAGGTAATTAGGGTTGGTCACTTGTTTGTTGAATATGGGGTGGCATGGGCGTGTGGTAGAGAGCCTGACTGCTAACCTGAACCCAGGTCTGGCGCAGAGACCAAATTTTGGTCCCAGCAGCCCAGCTGCGTCAGAAACAAACAGCGTACGGTCTGATAGCCCGGGCCTGAACTCCTCCACACAGAGGCAGTTCATGTCCAATGGATATCAGGCGCCTCCACCCTTAAGTAAAGGCGGTTGGTCATAGAGCTGGCGACACCATGCCTCTACATGCCCAGGTCAAGAAACATGAACTCTATGTTAGGACTGAAAGGGTAACTACTTATGTGGGGGAGGAGCAGGGGAGAGCAGGTTGTCACTTTTGTCAGGTTAGAGTTATTGCCTTGTACATGATACATTTGTTACTGGTGGATGGGAAGGGTTAAACTAAGACAGTAGGTGCTGCTGTTGATTTGTTTTGTTGAATATAGATAGATGTTTTACATCTGATAAAATGTTAACTGTTACACTATTTAATACTTTAATACATGAAATCATTGACTGCACTGCTCAAAAACAAGAGTAAGATTTTGGAGAGAAAAAATGTTACTGTTGTATTTCAGGGATCAAGTGGACAAAACTCTGGACTTCTCCAGCTGAACCACGCTGCACTGATGGCCCAGGGTCAGCTCATCAACCAGAACAACGTGGTGCCCCAAGGCCACGTGCAGCAGATCATCCAGCGCATGTCCACTGGTCAGCCGTACTACATCCAGCAACAGCAGGTTGGAGTCGTTGGACAACGAGGTGTCAGCCCCAACCCAGGCTTGAACAGCCAGCAACCTGTCATGGTGGGAGTGGTCAGCAATGGGGGCGGACCCTCGCCCAGCCCACTCCTCTCCCACCAGCTACAGAACATGATCATTGGGATCCCCAGTTCAAGCAGCTCTTCTCCAGGCCCCTCTAACGGGGTCTCCACCATGTCGCGGGGGTACACACAAGCTCCCCCACCCCCTTATAGTCAGGCCCAGGCCCAGATTCAAGCCGCCCGGCTTACAGTTGCCGCCGGAGTTAACGGCGGAGCGGTCAGCCATTTAGATCACAACCAACAACAGGAGCTCCACCGCTTAGATAACACCATGATTCCTAGCTCAGCTGAAGCTCAGCAGATGATGCAGAAGAAAATGGTCGCGTCCACTGCAGTGTCGGCTACCCGTATGGCTATGGGTTCCAGCCATATGCCTGTCATCATGCCGTCTGTTAGAAGCAAGGAAGTCACCAAACCTATGCCGCAGACTGCCACGGCTCCCATCATCCCACCCGGACAAGGCGTTGGCATGAACGGCTCTGTTCCCCCCAGCTACATCACCCAAGTCCAAGCTCATATCAACAGCATGTCAGCCCTCCCCAACCAGCAACACCTCAAGCAGTCAGCCGTAGCGCAGCCAGCCCGAGCTATCACGACCCCGCGTAGAGACGTTCAAATTCAGATCACACACTCCCACCCCAAACATCAGCTGGCGCAAGGCATCCGCAGCGGAAACGGCGCCACGTACACCAACGAGCACATGGCAACCGTAGCGTCAACAGGCCAGCCAACCATTCAGACTCGTCATCAGTACAACCCCTTTTCACAAAACCACTTACAAGGCATTAGGCTGCAGAACAGTACGATGTACCAACAGTTTTCACCTGACACTGCGATGTCTACGCCACGCTCAGACTCACCTGTATCACGAGCCACAAACCAGTCACCCATGTCTGTTCTGTCTACTGCCTCCTCGCCTTCCACTAACTCTGACATCCCAGACAAGCCCCCGCCACCTTACCCCGGGCGAGGGATGGGCCAGGTGTTGCAGATAAACCCACCTTTACTTCCACCGCGGATTCCATTGAAAGACAAGCCTCCCCCTCCGATACCACTGAACGATCAAGACACATCTCAACAGGTTTTGTCGGCTCAGCTTTCAAAGTTTCCTCCATCTCACCTCACAGCTAACTTCCCACAGGGCTCAAACTCATCCTCCTCCTCACCCTCCCCCTCCTCGCCCAGCACACCCCTTGTTGTAAATGGCAACATCCCCGCCCCCCACCCAGCTCTACAGTCAGACAGTTCTCAGGCTGGCGCCTCCCCCAACCTCCCCGGGCCGCAGGTTGCCAGCAGTAGTCAGGCGTCAGAGACCGAGGAAACTGACACTGACACCAGTCAGGGGCACAGCCAGGCTAAGAGCTCATCGAACCCACCCCACGAGAAACACCGCTGTATGTCCCCGTTACCTGAGCGCAAGTCCGAAGCTCGGGAGAGAGACAGGTTACGGTGCGACACAAAAGTGAGAATGTATTCCCCGCAGGCTTTCAAGTTCTACATGGAGCAGCATGTGGAGAATGTGCTCAAGTCTCACTCACAGAGAATGAATCGCAGGCTGCAGCTTGAAAAAGAAATGGCAAAAGTTAATTTGTCAGAAGAAGCAGCCCGTCAGATGAGAAAAATGCTGCATCAGAAAGAGTCTAATTACATTCGACTAAAGCGTGCCAAAATGGATTCTTCTATGTTTGAAAAAATACAAACGCTAGGTGTCGGGGCGTTCGGGGAGGTGGCATTAGTTAGGAAAAAAGATGTAGGTTCCCTGTATGCAATGAAGACGTTAAAAAAATCAAACGTTATAAAAAGAAATCAAGTGGCTCATGTGAAAGCGGAGCGTGATATCTTGGCCGAGGCTGACAATGAGTGGGTTGTGAAGTTATATTACTCATTCCAGGACAAAGACAACTTGTACTTTGTCATGGATTACGTACCAGGAGGTGACCTCATGGGACTACTTATCAGGAAGGAAATTCTAGAGGAACGTCTGGCTCAGTTCTACATTGCAGAATTGGTGCTTGCCATTGAGAGCGTGCATCGCATGGGTTTCATTCATAGAGATATCAAACCTGATAACATTTTAATTGACAAGGACGGTCACATCAAGTTAACAGATTTTGGCCTGTGTACAGGTTTCAGGTGGACACATAATTCAAAGTACTATCAGAGAGGTCAGTTTTGTTTTGTTTCATTTAACTTTTTACTTGCTCCTCTTTATTGTTTTTAATTTCCTGTCCTTTTACTGTTTAGTATAAAATATTCGTTGCTTATTTCACTGTAGTTAATAATATAATGTTATTTTTTAACGATAATATGTTTGGTTTATTAAATAATTATATTTTCTTAGTTAACCAACACTTATTTTTTACAATAGTAGAAGTTACATGTGTGTTTATTTTATAAAATATACATGTACATAAAGTTAAAGTCAGCTAATTCAGCAAATCATAGAATATGATAGAAGATTTTTGTAAATGTAAGTGAAAAGTAAAAGGCAACTGAAACTAATAATTGTATGACCATTTCAGTTCTCTTTAAAATAGTTGTTTACAAAAACTAATTTCTAAACTTCCACATTGGTTATTTAAATATTGGGCCATGAGAAATTTGAATTTGATTCAGGAAAACATCCAATGGGTTAAATCTTTGTGGCTTTAGCTTGTAAGATTAAAAGACAGCTGTTAATTAATGCTGACCATTACCACCCTGGTATTTAGTGATCATACCAACATGCTAATCTATCTTATCTGTAACAGGGTTCATAAGGGAACTAACCTAAACATATAGTAAGGTTGGGGGAGGGGGGAATTCATATAGAAAGCACATAACTTAATACCATCCTGTTTTGTTGAAATTCATATAGAGATATGTTTTGAAAATAATTAATTTGAGATCACCAAAATGTAATCTTTTAAAAACAAATTTCCTATAATCTTTAAAATGGAAAGAAACCATATAACTATAACTGATATTGACAGTAATGAGTATTTTCAAATGTCTTTACGTCTTTTAAGATAGAACATATACATCTGATGTAAGCTTGTAAGACAAAGCTTGGTTTACTGAGGTTTAAACAACATTGTGATTTAGAATTATTTAGATAGATAGTTCAGTCTTTATGTGTACGCTTGTCAAAACAGAAGTTCTTGAGATTTCTACTTTAAAGGCTTCTCTGTGCAAGTATTTAAATTAAACATCTTCTCTAACCCTATGTTTACATTTGTCTAGATGGAACCCATGCCAGGCAAGACTCAATGGAGGTCAACTGTCAGTTAGATGACCAGTGTAAATGTGATGTCATAAAACCATTAGAGCGGAGGCGTCAGCGTGAGCAAATGCGATGTCAGGCACATTCCCTTGTGGGCACCCCCAACTACATCGCCCCTGAGGTTCTTTTACGTTTAGGTAGGAAATTTGATTTTTTTCTTCATTTTGAAAGAGATTATTTTGTATAGATGTTAAAAAATCTCTATAACAACATGTTTGACATTTTTTTAAAGATATATTAACACCTTTATCATCAAATTATTTCATAGAAGCGTTCCAACCCGATATTTTTTCCAATATCCACTGATTTTATTGGTGTTAATGTAATTATATAAGGACATCAAAATAAGTGTAAATATAAGAAAATGATTCTCTGCAATAATATAGCCATCAATTACATTTTTAAAAACTAAAACTGACAAGCGTCAATAATAAAATGATATAAATCTGGTGGTGTGACCACAGTGATTAATATTTAGACATGGTGATGAACAATGTTTTATCATTAACATTGTGCTTATGTACCATACACTATCATATTTTCCAGCTATAGCCTACTCTATATTTGTTTTATTGTTTTAAATTACTAACCTCCATTAGCGATATCCTATTGTAAAGCGATAGTTAATTAAATAGTGGTATAAATTATAGTTATATATAATCACATATTAAAATAGGAGGAATACCTTGTGTAAACAGGTAAAATGCATCTTGCTTATTTTCTGAGATAGTTTAAACCTTGACTTATTTAATCAATTATTTTTTCTTTTTCCCACCAGGTTATACAAAAGCTTGTGATTGGTGGAGTGTAGGCGTGATATTGTATGAGATGGTGATTGGTCAACCCCCTTTTTATGCTAGCACACCCGCAGAGACACAGTATAAGGTTGGTCGGCTTATTTAATTGAACTGTTTCTCATTATGTCTGGGTGGAAACTTGAGAACGGTGTTCTGAACTGATTACAGCTGACGTAATGCAAGAAGTTGTTTAAAGTAATATCTCAATCATTTAAAATTGTGATCCCCGCCTTCCGACGCTAAAATAAAACTTCTCATTCCCCCCCCCCCCCCTCCCCCCCCCCCCTCAGGGGTCGGCGTGGTCGAGTCAGTAAAGCTCATGGTTGCTAACCCGAAAAGTCTCGAGTTCGAACCCTCGGGCAGATGAGGCTCGTTAGCTGGGGACAGCCACTCTTCTAGGAGAGACAACTCCAAAATTAAACAACTGCTGCCTTGTAGTTTGTTCATGGTTGGACAAAGGCTATGGAAGCAACTCCAAAAAGAAAAGCAGGCTGAAATCGGAGTCAATGGCCTCAATGGCGCATAAACAGTTGACACGTAACGCTTAATTGTGTTGGAGGCGCGGTCGAGTCGGCAAAAAGCTCATGGTTGATAAATTCGAAATAAGTCTCGAGTTCAAACCCACTGGCAGATAAATCTCGATCCCCTTCCACACTAATAATTAAGAACGAAGAAGAAGAAGAAGAACTTGAGAACAAAACTTCACCCACTTCTACCAAGCAAATTGGTTTCAAACTTAACTTGTAGATCAACTTGTGCTGAAAATACCACAACATGAACTGTAACAAAATTCGATATTTTATTTATAATTATTTAAAGATAGATACATAAACAATAATTTTTTTTTTGCACTATCACAGACAAATTTAATCTGTTCAATGGGCATAAACTTTTTTTAATCAAGCAATACATAAAAATGTTTATAATAGTATTAATAGTCAGCCTTTTTTTAAAAGGAAAATAAAATAAAATGACTTTCTTTAACTGCAATAATGCACCATTATTTTTATGACTAAAAATAAAAGCTTCAGTTACTCAAAACATTTTAGTTAGAATATTCAGTTCCTAGTAAATATTTATACTATTCCATTTCTCCAGTATTTGAGTAATGATACATTTACATACTAGAGTTATATTACTATTATATATAATTGTTTGTACATGTATGTATATTTAGATATGCGCCTTTTTTTTTCAATACACAATATAACTACCTATTCTTTTCTGTATATATATATATATATATATAAATAGTGGGATATTATTATATTTAATATTTTATTGTATTGGGTTCTTAACTCAGAAATACTACAAGCACCTTTACTGCTGATACACTGTATGTAACTGAACTCTTGTTTGTGTCTTCAGGTAATCAATTGGAAAGAGACCCTGACCACACGTCATTGCACCAACATTTCAGCCGCTGCCACTGACCTAATTGTTCAGCTGCTACAGGGACCTGAAACCAGGCTGGGAAGGAACGGGGCCCCCGAGGTCAAGGATCACGCATTTTTTGCTGGGATAAATTTTGAAGGACTTCGCAGACAAGCAGCGCCATTTAAGCCTACAATAAGATATCTGACAGACACCTCTAACTTTGATCCCGTAGACCCAGATAAATTGAGAACTAACGACTCAGAAGGATCAAAGAAAGTAGACTCTAAACTAGAAAATGGAAAGCACCCAGAACATGCTTTTTTCGAATTTACATTTCGAAGATTTTTCGACGATGGTGGCCATCCGTGCACGATGCCATCCCAACAAGATCAAGAAACCAACTTACCTGTATATGTTTAAAAACTATACAGATGTAGTGATACAATTAAGTCTTAACTAAGGTGTGTACAGTTTAGAACTTTGGCATCTACATTCACAACTGAAACTTTTAGAATTTCAAATTCTTTACATTCCTTTCTCTGCAATCAAGTGTTTAGACAAATTTTTTTTTTTAAATAACTCCAAAAATGGTAGACATCAAATCTGTTTTGATGATTAAGCTCCTTTGTACAGTTTTTTTTTAAATTTGAAAGCCAGATTTTTTTCTTTTATTTTGAAAAAAAAAATTATCAATGCCTGTTTGTAGATGCCATTAGTCTGCCTTACCACCCAATAGTCATGTCTTTCTTCACTGAAGCTCATCTGCGCCCTCGGAGAAGGCGCTAGTGTGTCTTGTTGTTTCACATTTTCATTCATTGATTGGATTAGATTCTCTTAGGTAAAGCACTGCACGGCTGCCATAATAACTTGGATAATAAAAAAATATCTAATTAATTAGTGCACAAGGGTTGATTAAATTTCTAAATTTTCTTGGGAGGGTGGAGGGTGAAAAAAAATTGTATAATAATCTGTTATTTATATTCATGTTATTTATATTGAAAGAAACAGTCAAAGACTCGAACAAAATTATGTAAATTAGAATTTAAAAGTTGTGATATTTTTTTTTTCATTTCTTATGTGTTGAATCTATACAGGGGAATGATCCCCTTCTTCAGAAGAGAAGAAAGGTTGTAACCAACCTACAGTGGTTATTGTACCTTGATAGTCCAGGAAAAGGGAATACAGCAATTTTTCTTCCCTAAATCTGGGGTGATAATATGGACCTTAGGGGTGATGAGTTCCCTGTGGTGATCATATTTCCCCCCACCCCCCCTACTCTCTCACTGCTGGATAATGCTAGAACATTTAAGTAGGAAATAATTGTTGGATATTTGTTGGATTGAATAAGTTTCTACCGTGTGTCTTGAATTGACTGTGATACCTCAGTGTAGCAGGACAGTTTTGGTGAGCACCACCAAATAAATAAAACATTGAACTGAACACAGTTGATGCGTATTGTAGGACAATTTAACAACAGTTCATGTTGTAGGACAATCTGAACACTTAGTGAGACAATTTGGTGAACCTCACCTCGAGTCTAGTAAGACAAAATGGTGAACTGTTCAAAAAATTTCTTCGGCCCTGCTCAAATCAAGTTCACCAACATAGTGAAAGCTATGAATAAATCATCAACATCTTATTAAAAAAAAAAACAACTAATTGAACAATACATTTTACTATGCAATATTGTATTTCACCATATCATTTAGTATTGTATAACTATCCAAGTGAAGAATTGTGTTAATATTTCACACTCACAAGTTTGTCTGCTTTCAGTTTTTCTGTGCATCATTCTACCACACATACATTGGTCACCTTCATGACATACATGCACACACAGCAGTTTACATGGAGTAAGAGGGAAGGCTTGCTGTATGTAAACTCACAGACTCATACCATCATACAATGTCTTAGGTGGGGGGATAACTGTAAGGTCATCTGTCAATCACTTAGGATCAATGTTACATCCTGGTGGCTATTGTCAATTCATTTGTTTGTAAATGGAGTTAAGTCACGCTGTTCTTAACGAGAGTGAGTGGTCAGCATCGAATGATGGAGAGTGTGTGTTATATATGTGTTTCCCATAGAGGAAGCAAGGTTTGTTTATTTGTATAAGCGAATGGTATTAGGGGAGGTAATTAGTTTAATTTTTTTAGTAAACCTTTTAATTTTAAAAATGCATTATTTTATTTTTTAAGTTGTTTTTTATCTTTTACTGTTAAAAGAAAAAATTAGCTTAATAACTCTTTTGAACAATGTTCATTTTTTAAAATATATGTTTAAACCGTTTTAAAATAACATCATTCTTACTTTATTTTGTTGTAACTCTAATTGCCTCCCCTGATGATAGTGTGTAACATTTGTAAATACTGAATCTGTGGGAACAGAAAGGACGAAAATCTGGCAATATTCCTATAGAAATAAACTGTTAATGCATCTTATTTACATTTCTTTCGTCATTCTCTTTTATTGCTAATCAATTTTTTTTATCAATTGCTACACATTTATTTAGTTGATGCTTAGAAGATGAAGGAGCACTTGTCTTACTGACATCAACAACTGAATGTCATTATACACATGATTGGTGTATGTGCACTAGGTGCAGATAACTCGTAATCTACCATTTAGTTCTATACAAGTATGAAAATCAGAGTTCCTTTCTGGCATCGTCGTCCAATTTTTACCCGGGGACAAACTTTCGATTTGCACCCCCCTCAAACTTTCGATTTGCACCCCCCCCCCCCTCAAACTTTCGATTTGCACCCCCCCCTCATACTTTATATATATATATATATATATATATATATATATATATATATATATATATATATATACCGAGGGGTCTATGGGGGGGGGGTTATGACCCACTCTAACCCCCCCCCCTAACTACGCCACTGGGGGAGGGGGTATTCAGACGGTCTGACGTCACACTTTTGCATTATAAAAAAGCAATGTTAGAAAACGAATTTTAGACGTTATTTCGAGTTTTAAAAAACTGTTTTAATAAATTGTAATTAAAATACTCTATGTTGACATAGTTCAGACAAGATTTTGGAAAAATATCGTATTTTAAGAAAAATTCAACTGCAATTTTGAGGTGTGACATTATAGGGGGGGGGGGGGTCTGGCTTTTTGTGACGATGTGTGACGGATGGGAGGGGGGGGGGTAAAAATCATTCCAAAAAGTGTGACGTCATTTATGGATGACCCCTTGGTCTAAAGAGGAATCTTTGCTCACTATGTTCGAAGAAAAGGGTCTCGGGAGATGGTTTTGGCCTTCACTGACCAAGTGCTACGTAGGTAAGGAATTTCTAATTAATATTAGGGAGGGGGTGGGGGTATAAATAAATAGCTCCTTTGCTGTCAACTACATCATAAATTAAACCATTTGAAAATTTATTTTAGGGTCTTACGTAGATGACGTCAAGTTTTTTTTTCCCGATTTAATTCTAAAAACGCGAACTGTTTGACATCACACCTTCTGAACCAAACTCCATTTTGTCACAAAAAGCCACAAAAGTAGAAACCCCGCCCCTCCCCTGGTGTGAGACGCCATTTATTAAAGACGATCGCCTAATATAACGTCATTTATAAAACTATGCATATCTCTCTTCTCTTGTTGCGGTTTTATCACTTGACATGTGACAGGGTTTTATTTTATGTTGCTGCGTGTACGTAGTTTTTTTTTTTTTTTTTTTTTTTTTTTTTTTTTTTTTAAAAGAAGGCACATTTAAAAAAAAAAATGCTTTTAAAAAATCGGCCATACCTTTGGTTATTGGTGCCTAGTCTGTAAAATAAATAAAACATACTAGATTCTAGGAGTAAAAACCTTCATAACAGAAAGAACAGAAACTTCCGGGTTCGATCGATTCTCATCTTTAAAAAAAAATCGACTATGTCATAGTAGAACTAAAAGTGTGCGCCCCACCCCACTTGAATCAATTTTATTATTGTACTAGGCATAGGCCTACTGCCTAGCTTCGCTTAGGTTTTCAAAAACATTTGATAATTTGAATACTAATTATTTGGTTATGGATGAGGTGTGGAGTGCTTAAATTTAAACAGTAATGCTAATTTTAGAGAAGATGTTGTATGTTGTTTAACAATCGCTTTCAGAGCAAAAATTAGAAAGTACGCAATTTATAACTAAAATGGAATTAGAAATACAGAGGTTCCATTAACAGTATATCTCATAATTTATATTACATTGACTTTAAAAATTAATTTTTAAATTTAATTATGATACGTAGCTTAATTAACAACTTATTAGGTTTAAAACAAATGTTATACTTTGTCATTTTCTGTTTCTGTTTAAAATAGTATATAATTATTTGAAAAATAATTATTAAAAAGGTTACCTCCCTTGAAAATGGACCGAATGACGTATTTTTTGTTTACTTTTTTAAAAACAGTTACTATGCTTATATTAAAAGATTGATATATGAACATATTTAACGACTACAATGGATTTTTCCGACGTGAATAACGTTTTTTTTTGTTACCCTCCAGGGTCGGTCTACGACCTCAAGTAATATTAAGGGGATCGTTCGTCAATTTATTCATATATATCTCATATAAGGAGAATTTCACTCGCGGTCATCTTTTAGCCCTGCTCGAGGGCTTTGAGTCTGACCAACAGTTTTTCCATACGGCCTAGTCAGCTATAGAAGTGTATGCAAAACATTAGCTTGATGTACAGAGGTTAAGTAACCTAAAACTTGTGTTGGAAATTCCCTGTTTTTCCTATAAAATACAAAGATTTTATAGGGAAATACGACTGGTCAGTTTTGACCCATTTAACGAATTTTCCCAGACATGGCGAGTTTTTTGTGACACCCCAAGGCGTTCTCCTACCACCTCACAAAATTTCAAGGGGGGTCGTCGGAGGAAATTTTTTTTCGTAATATAGCTCATATAATGAGAATTTCACTCGCGGTCACTTTTTAGCCCTCGTCGAGGGCTTTGAGTCAAATCGACAGTTTTCCCTAAAGGTCAAGCCATTGACCTAAACGTATGCAAAAAGTTAGCCAGATATACCGAGTTTAAATACCCTAAAGTCTGCGTTGAAATGACCCTCTGTTTTCCCCATAAAATACAAAGATTATATAGGGAAATACAACTGGTCAGTTTTGACCCCTTTACGAAGTTTTCCCAGATATGCCGAGTTTTTTGTGACACCCCCAGGCATTCTCCTACCACCTCACAAAATTTCAAGGGGGGTCGTCGGAGGAAATTTTTTTTCGTAATATAGCTCATATAATGAGAATTTCACTCGCGGTCACTTTTTAGCCCTCGTCGAGGGCTTTGAGTCAAATCGACAGTTTTCCCTAAAGGTCAAGCCATTGACCTAAACGTATGCAAAAAAAATTAGCCAGATATACCGAGTTTAAGTACCCTAAAGTCTGCGTTGAAATGACCCTATGTTTTCCCCATAAAATACAAAGATTATATAGGGAAATACAACTGGTCAGTTTTGACCCCTTTAAGAAGTTTTCCCAGACATGGCAAGTTTTTTTTGACACCCCCAGGCATTCTGCTACCACCTCACAAAATTTCAAGGGGGGTCGTCGGAGGAAATTTTTTTTCGTAATATAGCTCATATAATGAGAATTTCACTCGCGGTCACTTTTTAGCCCTCGTCGAGGGCTTTGAGTCAAATCGACAGTTTTCCCTAAAGGTCAAGCCATTGACCTAGGAGCATGCAAAAAATTAGCCAGATATACTGAGCTTAAGTACCCTAAAGTCTGCGTTGAAATGACCCTCTGTTTTTCCCATAAAATACAAAGATTATATAGGGAAATACAACTGGTCAGTTTTGACCGCTTTACGAAGTTTTCCCAGAATTGCCGAGTTTTTTGTGACACTCCTAGGTGTTCTTCTACCACCTCACAAAATATCAAGGGGGGTCGTCGGAGGAAATTTTTTTTCGTAATAGAGCTCATATAAAGAGAATTTCACTCGCGGTCACTTTTTAGCCCTCGTCGAGGGCTTTGAGTGTAACCGACAGTTTTCCCTAAAGGTCATGCCATTGACCTAGGAGCATGCAAAAAATTAGCCAGATATACTGAGCTTAAGTACCCTTAAGTCTGCGTTGAAATGACCCTCTGTTTTTCCCATAAAATACAAAGATTATATAGGGAAATGCAACTGGTCAGTTTTGACCGCTTTACGAAGTTTTCCCAGATATGCCGAGTTTTTTGTGACACTCCTAGGTGTTCTTCTACCACCTCACAAAATATCAAGGGGGGTCGTCGGAGGAAAATTTTTTTCGTAATAGAGCTCATATAAAGAGAATTTCACTCGCGGTCACTTTTTAGCCCTCTTCGAGGGCTTTGAGTGTAACCGACAGTTTTCCCTAAAGGTCAAGCCATTGACCTAGGAGCATGCAAAAAATTAGCCAGATATACTGAGATTAAGTACCCTAAAGTCTGCGTTGAAATGACCCTCTGTTTTTCCCATAAAATACAAAGATTATATAGGGAAATACAACTGGTCAGTTTTGACCCCTTTACGAAGTTTTCCCAGATATGCCGAGTTTTTTGTGACACCCTAAGGCGTTCTCCTACCACCTCACAAAATATCAAGGGGGGGTCGTCGGAGGAAATTTTTTTTCGTAATAGAGCTCATATAAAGAGAATTTCACTCGCGGTCACTTTTTAGCCCTCGTCGAGGGCTTTGAGTGAGACCGACAGGTCTGCCCTACGGTCAAGCCATTTTCCTATAAACATGCCAAAAATTAGCCAGATGTAAAGAGGGTAAGTGCCCTAAAATCCGTTTTGAAATGACCCTCCGTTTTTCCCATAAAATACAAAGATTATATAGGGAAATACGACTGGTCAGTTTTGACCCATTTCCCGATTTTTCCCGGACATGGCGAGTTTTTTGTGACACCCCAAGGCGTTCTCCTACCACCTCACAAAATATCAAGGGGGGTCGTCGGAGGAAATTTTTTTTCGTAATAGAGCTCATATAAAGAGAATTTCACTCGCGGTCACTTTTTAGCCCTCGTCGAGGGCTTTGAGTAAGACCGACAGGTCAGCCCTACGGTCAAGCCATTTACCTATAAACATGTCAAAAATTAGCCAGATGTAAACAGGGTAAGTGCCCTAAAATCCGTTTTGAAATGACCCTCTGTTTTTCCCATAAAATACAAAGATTATATAGGGAAATACGACTGGTCAGTTTTGACCCATTTCCCGATTTTTCCCGGACATGGCGAGTTTTTTGTGACACCCCAAGGTGTTCTCCTACCACCTCACAAAATTTCAAGGGGGGTCGTCGGAGGAAATTTTTTTTCGTAATATAGCCCATATAAGGCGCCGGTCAGTCGAGGTCAGTTTTGACCCCTTCTCCGTAGACTTTTCGGCCAACCGTCACCGGCCTTCGTGTTCTATTGCCCGAAGGCACCATCGTGCCAAATTTGACGCGCCTGCGGCGCCGGGAAGTGCCCTATCGGGCACTTGACCACTTTGCTTTATATATATAGATTTCAACTGTTCAACGCTCCGCTATCACGGGGAGGTGTAACCTCTATGTATGTGTGCTACAAGTCTACGAGATTCATACACAGTGCTGACGTCAGTGATGACGTTAGCTGGTGCCCTGTAGGCCTATGGGTTTTTTTCTACGCGAAAATGGTAATTAGGCTTTTTGGTCCATTTTGTTGTATAGAAGACGTCCATTTTGGCCGTTTTTTTTTCGCCAATAGGGCCTAACCGCCTCCCTAAAACGATAGTGAAAAAATCACACTACACCCCTACCCCCAGCTACAATCATACACCCACACACACCCAACCACACATAAACTTTTTTCGTTTCCCCCACCCACGCCAGCGTAATTGGATAGTCAATGATAATACAAGTTAGGACATTTAATAGCCTGTATTTAAAGTGTGATGATGATTCGAAATTCAACCCTACGCGAAATGATTAGTAATGTAGGCAATGTAGCTTTTTAAAAACTCTTTCGTAGGCGTTCCATTGCAGTGCAATAAAGCATTTATTTTTTAATTTCATTTTTTTTTATCGGTTGGCCTAACACTAACACCCTTAGCACATTGTGGTAGCATCACAAATCAGCAGCCTCAACTCCACCACCCACCCACACACACCGACACGAACACAGCTGTATGACGTCATTTATTAGGACGAGCCCATAATTAAAATACACTAAATGTCCTCATTAAAAAAAAAAACACACACACACAACTAGAGCACACAAATGTAAAACACTTTGCCGCTTGCATGGGAATAAGTTAAATGATGTATGTGAATGACAGTCGTACGCCTATATATTAGATTTAAATGTTTCATTATTTCTGTCAAAGTTGTTATGTAAAATCACAGCCGAGTAAAACATAATAAGAGACTGGCCGACCGGATAGACAATTTTATTTTGTTGGTCCGTCTAACAAAAAAATATTCTAAAAAAAAATTATAAATAAAATCCGTTTCCTTTTGCACAGACGTTTAATGAATTTGAAGGGGTAAGATTCGAATGGCTTCATCCTTAAAAATAAATTTAAAAAACCTAATATGGTCGTCAATTTGCCCCTAGTTGGAGCGCCCCCGCACTAATTGTTGTGGGTGTTGTTTTTTTTTTTTTTCTTTCGGTTCAACGCTTAGTCTATTAGCGCCTTTCTCAACGACGGAAATTCCACAGCTTTTGTGAATGAAATGATGACTGTGTGTGTAAACGTGTAGCTGACCTAATTTTATATTTTTAAACTGTTAACGGTTGGTGGAAAAGGGGGAGAGAAAACCGGTTTCAAGGTCTAGCACTAAAATGTGGGCCTAATCATTTTGTTTAAAGCACACAGCAAGTAATGTGTAGTTATTCACAACTTCGCCCCTTTTCCGAGTTTATAATGTCTCGTAAAATGTAGGTATTTAAATGATTTGTTCCTATGCCATAGGTCGCAACTTGTTTTCATTTAACCGCGAAACAGTTTGTCTGTAAACAAATCCCTAACCAAGAGGTATGAGGAGTAGCGAAACTGAAAATCTGGGCGGCTGATATAACACCAGTTATTTTGCAATCCTCACTAGAATGACGTCAGCGGAGTAAGCTCAGCGCGTGATCGCTTGAGTTGCGATCAAAGCTTGGCTGAGCCGCGGCATTGAAGAAGTGACGTCCTTGTGGTGGATATTTTTACGCCGGAAGTTGGTGGTTAAGGCTGACTCATTGGATGACGACTGCTTGAATTGAGGTTAATCTTAGCACAGGGGATGGAAGTTCTTTCTACATTTTCATTTTGAAACATAGCACGTTCAGATAAGGCTGTTACAATGTGATCGACTATTGTTTGTGTTATCTAATATTTGAACTAGCTTAAAACAGTTAGCTTTATTGTAGAGAGTGAAATAAGCGATTAAATTCTAGTTAAATACAACCCGACGCCCCTTTTCCTTTGAACTGAACCAGTTAGGTCAGAGTCAGACTTTTGTTGTTGATTGACGTCATCAGTATCAACGACATGGATCCGTCACCTTCTGATAACTGTGAAAAAATAAATGGAATGGAGAATCGTCATAAAATATCAAATCCAAAGTTAGCTGACCTGGAAGGATCAGCCAGCATGACGCTTTCGGGGGAAGAAGAAAGCTTGATCACAGAGGCGACTCAAAACTTGGTAGAGTTCGCTATGACGAAAGGACACACTATACACAGCGTGACGCATATGAGTCGAACTCAACTTGCAGACTTCCTACGAGATTTTTACGGAAAAGTTAAAGTAAAAAATGACGATTCTCTCACCTTGAAGGAGTTACGAGCGGGCTTGCATAAATTTTTCTTAGACGAAGTTAGCATCGACATTCTGCGGGACCGTGCTTTTGAGCTGGCGAACGCAACTTTTGATTTAGCTTTGCGAACCAACCCACGCAAGTGCTATAGGCGGATCGAGATGGACGATTTAAAGAAAATTTATCTGGGCGACGCCATGGACACCAGCAAGCCCGATTCCCTCCAAAATAAGGTATTTTTCGACATAAGCTTGTACATATGTAACAAAGGAAAGGATTATTTTCGAAACATGAAAAAGAATGATTTCGATGTATCAACGGATATTCATGGTCGTCGCTATGTTTGGCTGAAGGACCCATCTATTCCCCGAGAGGAGGAGTTGCCTCCTAAATTAAAACTGAAACGAGGGGAGGATGAGCATCCTGCTTATCAAGTAGGAGAAAGAATGTACGAAAGACCAGGTAACATTCAATTTGATTACATCTTTATTGATTCTAAATGAATGCTTATAAATTATTTATTTTACTGTTCGATCAATAGTTGACCCGGGGCCTGTTAGCATAGTTAGCACTGCAGCTACACACTCAGCGACCTAGATTCTGGAAATTTTTATTAATTTACAAATTTTTACTCTTAGCATTCACTTGATAGATCTAATTAATTCTTATAATTCTAGATCTGTTACTTTTATTTAGATCTAGATCTAGCTCCTCTTTTTACTTTGTTATCTGAAACATTAATTAGGGGAGACTGCTCAAACTTCGACCGATCCGTTTTCTCCCGAGCCGAAGGTTCGCTTCTCTTCGTTATATCTCGTAAACCAATCAACATAGCGGTATAATTTTTTCACTGTTAAAAACGTTCTCCAACGCTGATTGGTTTGGTATAAATAGTTAACCAATCGCTATGAAGGATTTAATACTATATGCAAGCCTAGACACTGACCCAAATATTTCCTTTTGGTTTTAACTTCGACCAGGTTGCTCCAACTTCGACCGGCGGCTTGTTCTAACTTCGACCGCTTTAGGAATATGACCGTAGCCTGGGCCTATTGTTAAAAACACTTATTTAGGTGGCCTTTGTTGTGTATTTAAAGGTTTTTAAATAGGCTAGCTTTATCTTCAATTGAAAACAAAAACAAAAAAAGAAGTAAACACAACGACATTTTTAACAGTAAAAAAGGAAAAAATATTTATAGTAATTTACAGACAACACATGTAGGCGAGCCTACAACACATCATTAATTTAATTTTTTTGCAGCCTTTTCTTTTCTCACATCTGCCCGTCTTTTCTTCTCATTCAACTTGCTTTCCTTTTCCTCGGCCTGCCTTTTCTTCATTCCTATTACCTCATCACTGGTCAACAACCTGTGAGTTGTAATTTTCCGTGATGAGCTTTTTTTTTCCGCCGTTGGCAAGACGGGTTTATCAAAAACGCTTGATAATTCCGCCAACCATTTCTCATGTGTTTCACTTCCACTTGCTTGGTTAACGGCTTCATCCTCTTCGATGCCACTTATGTCCATGGCAAGCTTTAGGATGTCCGAAAAGTTTTCGTTAGCACCCGTAGCACGTATTTCGCCGATAGGCCTACTTTCATTTTGGTCCTCAGGAGGTGACCACCATGGGTCAGTGTTGAGGACATCTGCGTCGACCATTGTTGCTTCAGGAGCAGAGGGAGCATATGCTTCCTCGAACATGGCCATATCCTGAGAGACAGAAGCAATAGGTTGATTTTGATCGCTTGCAACTAGTGTTGAAGGTGCTTGCCGGTCAAATGCCTCACTTGGCAATGTGTCACTTTTTGTGACAACCGTTGGATCAAACGGATAGATTCCGGTGGCCTGAAAAGCTTTTTTGATGGTGCTTGGGCAAAAGGCTTGGCTCCATGCGGCAGTGAACAGTTTAGTCCATGTGACTTTACTGATCACGTTTGCCGGGTGCTCCGAAAGAAATTCAGTGCATTCTGCACCATAATATTTCTTAAACGGCCCAAAGACACATTTGTCCAACGGCTGCAACTTGTGTGTTGTATGGGGTGGCAAGGCGAATATGTGTATATTTTCATTCCTTGCTGTTTCCAGCAGATCCACAACCTCATGGGAGCTGTGTGAATCTAACAGGAGAAGCTGGGGGCGGTCTGGGCCACAATGTTTAAGGAAAACTTGCTTAAACCATTGGACTCCCAAAAGATCTTCCATCCACCCAGACTCCTGATAAGTCTACACAGCTCCCTTTGGCGCATCACAGACGTTGAACGACGAAACTGCTCGCTGGGTTTTGCCCTTCACTATTATCATGGGGGGCATTGACTCGCCAGCGGCATTAATGGTGGCAAATATGGTTATGTTTTCACGAGACCCTGTCACACGTGCTGACACCCCTCTTACTCCCTTCTGGGCAACTACTTTTGTTGGCTTGTGCTGTAACTGTACTCCAGTCTCATCACAATTCCAAATGCATTTAGGCCGCGAAGTAAGCTGCAGATCGTCTAACAGCTTCCCTAGAGCTTCAAAGTAGTTTTTTACAACATTGCTGTTGAGCATTGTCATTCGACACTGTGGTAAGGCTTCTGGATTCCGGATGGTCAGTTCAGGGTGCCTCCCCTTCAATTTCCTCCAGTACCCCTCTCCAGGAACACCATTTTTGAATCTTGTTTTTATTTCCAGACGCCTTGCAATGTTTCCTACCATTGCTAGAAGCCGGCGTTTTGTATATGGAAACCCCGCTTTTGAAGCATCGAGGACTCTCGATACTATCTGTTTTTCTAAAGCAGGGTCAATTTCACAGCTTCGACCAGGCTTAGACCCTGCTTTTATTCGGCCCTTAACATGGTCAATAATAGTTGTTTTGGGCACCCCAAACTGCAATGCTGCCTTGCCATAAGACATGCCCTGTCTTACTGCATCTACAGCCTTTTCTAGGTTTTCCGTTTCATACGAAATATACGACCTTTTTTCTTTTTTATCTTTTGGTCTGTTGATAAAGCATATGTCAGTTGTTTTTAATAAATTTAAATTAAAGGAAAAAAAATAAACTAATATGCCTAATCTAATAGATCTAGTACAATTATAGGCCTACTTTATGCTAGGTTCCTATGTAGATCTACATTTGGTTACATCGGTCGAAGTTAGAACACCGCATTTTTTACATGGTTTTAACTTCGACCGATTTGTTTTTCACTATTTTTTTAAATTTTTACAACCCTAAAAAAAAAAAAAAAAGCACACATATGTAGATTAACCAACATTATAATTTATTTTCAAGTTTAAAAACTGTTAAAAGCAAAATTACTTACGTTTTAGGCATTATGAAAGAAGGCACTAAAAAGCTCACAAAATGCAAATTTGATATTTTCACTCGATAAAACTCACGGACGCTAACTACCCAGCTAACACAATTTATTAACCCAATGTCGTTCCAAGGTTGGCCCAATATCGCTATCTTGGCGATAAATTGGCCAAGGTCCCGCCATGCTTATGCCAGGATACGGCCAAGATTTGTACGTGCTTGCGTCCCTTTGTTTTGAATAGCTTCCCTTGATACCTTGGTATTTAACCGTTTTTACCCTGGCTTGCCAAGATTACAATGATTTATGTATTTACTGCAGCAATTTTATTTAAATAAGTTTGTTAAACTTAATATATGTTCCATGAAATACGTTTAAAAATCAAATATAATACTTCAGTTTAAAATTAGATTTAACTACAATCTATGTTGCGTGTTTTAAACATTTTGTTTAATATTTTTAAAATTGTGTGCGTGGCTACCCGTCCAGCGTCACGCTGGTCCATCGCATCTCGGCCTAAATTCTATGTCCACATTCCTTTCTATTGTTATCAAGCCAGCATCCCGCCGGTCTTTGCTTGCCATTCTTCGCTCGCCATTTCCCTCAACAACAGAGCCTTTGTTGTATCAAGCCAGCGGCACTAAGACCTCGTCTTTATCATCGCTTAATCTACCGACGTTTGGATTCTGTTAATAATCCTTTCAAGGACTTAAAACCACTTAATCAACAGGTAACATCGTCAATTTTTATTGATAACAGATTATCCGACAACAGGTGAGCTTGTCGCATCAACAGGTATTGCACCAATTATTGACTTATTTTTCAACAGTGAGGAGAATAATGTACATAAATTCATATTGCGGTGTAGAAAACACTTTCTGTCATTAAATAAGAGGAAGTCTATTTACATAGTTAGGCATTACAGTAACAGGCTAGGTGATTGTTTTAAATAATAAATATGTTTTCAACGAAAGAACCATCTAAATGTTCTATTTGGAGAGCTACCCGAAAAAGGGTTAGAATCTAGTAATGATTTAGCTGACTGTATAAGGGCAGTACATGACGTTTCTGTCAGAGGCAGGCACAGGAATTATGATTATGAGTATGATAGGCCTATTTATAAAAGTAGTAATCAGAAGCCTATTCTCAATGAGTTTGACAGTGTAAATTATTCATCAACACCAGTCACAGTAACTGGTCACCAAGCATGTTATTCAGAAGTTAGAAACGAAGCTCACCATCAACAGACTGGCGCTGAGCAACACATGTATGATAATACTAGCAATTATGATTATACAGATTTAAATGATATTCTGTCGGATGTAGATTGTGAGACAGATGCAGACTCATCGCCAGAAGACAACTATGAAAATAATTTACAAGAGGAAGTCAGAAAGTGGGCTATTGATTTTCAAATAAAAAATGATGCACTTAGTGCCTTACTGTGCTTATTGTGCACCTACCACCCTTCATTACCAAAGGATTCAAGAACTTTGCTGAAAACTCCTAGAAAAATAAATGTCAAAGCTATTACAGGTGGTGCATACTACCATTTTGGAATTGAAAATTGCTTAACAAAATCGAAACATTTATTTAAATTTCTACATTCTCATCCAAATGAGACTCCAGTTATCCATTTGCAAATTAATTTTGATGGTTTGCCTTTATTTAAATCCTCATGCAGTCAATTTTGGCCAATTCTTGGAAGAATTTGTAAACCATTTGAATCTGATCCATTCCTTATTGGTTTGTATTATGGAGATAGCAAACCAGTTAGCATTGAAGAATATTTAACGGATTTTGTGAATGAAATGCAAGTACTCGAGAAAGGTGCCACTTCACTCAGATTTGAAGACAACGAAGATTCTATTTTTCCTATTAAACTGTGTATATCTTGTTTTATATGTGATGCTCCAGCGCGGTCTTTTGTTAAGAAAACAAAAGGGCATTCAGGTTACTGGGGCTGTGATAAATGTTGTCAAAAAGGGGAGTGGGCTGAAAAAGTCATCTTTCCTGAAATAAATGCAACATTACGTTCAGATGAAGCTTTCGATTTAATTGAAGATGAAAATCATCAATTTCATGGATTATCTCCCTTGACTAGTTTGTCAGTTGGCATGGTCACTCAGTTTCCTTTAGATTACATGCATTTAGTGTGCTTAGGGGTTACAAG